CACTGGAGCAGAACTTTTTCCAGTGTACCCAATCACAACAGCTCCTAAACCTCCTGAATGAGGAGACTCTTGTGAGAGGGGGCCCTGAAGAAGGATGGAGGAATGGTGGAGGTTGAAAGGAATCAGAGGGTATAACCCTGGGAAACAGTACTCAAGGCCTAGTGGCCCAACGTTTTGGTAGTCCAGGTTGGGAGGAAGCAGGAAAGGCTGTTGACAAAAGGGGAGGAGACCAGATCCACAGGAAACTCTAGTTTGTCGCCTTCAGGCACACCCTCAAAACTGCTGTTTAGCCCCTTGGTTGGGGCAGGTCGAGCCCAACTGAGTAGAAAGTGAGGGCTGCCTCGACCAACACTTACAGCCCTTGCTCTTTCTGGCAGGGGACCCTGGTCCAGTAGGGTGCTAGGGCCAGAACCATTTCCAGGCAAGAGCAAGAACATACAACCCCAGGGTTTTCAGGGCAGCATGACTGTCCTCAAGCCCATGTAATTTCATGTCCATCTGCTCTGCTAACAGAGCACAGCCATTCAATGGAAAGTCTTGCATAGACTGCTGAGGCTCCAAAGTGCAGCACATCGGATGGCTAATGCCATCATATGCGCTGCTGGGTCTGCTGCATTGGCAGCTGCCCAGAGAGCTGCTCAGCTGTCACTGTATTCTCTTCCAAGAGGGCTTTGAACGCCTTCCTGGAATTCTCAGGCAGCGACTTCTCGACTTTGCCATGGCTCACCACATGTTAAAAATGTAGCAGCTCAGGAATGCTTGATGGTTAGCTACCCATAACCACAGGCTGGCCGAGGAATAAATTACAACTATTAACTAAGCACTACTGAGAGAACTATAGTCACTAAACATAGACTGCATTCACAGCAAGAGCAACCTGCACCATCACTGGCAGCAAGAAGGAACCGAGGGTGGAGAGGAGTGCGCAGAACCCTTTATATTGAGCCACTCCAGGCACTGCCAAAGCTGCTCCCCCATGGATATTGCTGTGGGCAAAACTTCTGGAACCTGTGCATGTGGTGAGCATGCCTGTCTACAGTGGAACAGACATGAACAATCATTCAAAAAAAATCTTAATCTTGTTGCACCCCAGTTTATGTAATAATACTTCCCTACTTCACAGAGGTGTTGCCAATAAGGATGTGAAATTGTCGTTATCTGGCTAATTGTAGTCGATACAATTTGTATCAACTACACAATTAGTCAATAAGGGCCGCTCTGCAGAGTCACATCAGGGGTAACTCCTGAAGCCAGCTTGAACTGGGACTGAGCAGTCTTGGCTCATGCCAGCTCTGGGAGCCGCCTATGCTGCAGCTCTAAATTTTAAATGTAGTAAGCATCACCAGGTTCTTACTAGTTTTAAAATACAGAGGTATAGTGTCCTGAACCACTGCGACCTGGGACTGCTCGGTCCTGGCTTGCCCCAAGTCCAGCAGCCCCTGTTTGCAGCGCCCAGGGCTGGCCGTGGCCTAAGGCTGCTGCCAGAGCAGTTTCTGCACACTTGGTAGCAGCAGCCCCTGTCGATAGGAGGGGCCCTGCTGTGGGCAGAGGCTACTTTGCAGCAGCCTCCCCTATCCCCCCCATGCTGCCTCTAATAGAGGCAGCAGGGGTAGAGGAAGTGGCATCACAGAGATGGTGCTGGGGGGAACTGGGTTTTAAGCTGGTTCCCACTCCACCCCCTACCTTGCTGCCTCCCATACAGAGGCAGCAAGGGGCGGGGGAAGAGAGTAATCAATACTCTACTTGACTATTGTGCTTATCAGATAGTCAACTACTCACTAACATTCCTAGTTGGCAAATTAATTTTTTCAGGTATATAGATACTACGAGTGCCATAGAAAGGGCTAGAGAAGTCATATATTGCGTTCATTTCTTTATTATTTGTATTACCCTTGTACCTAGGAGCCCCAGACATAATTCAGGATCTGTGTTCCCTGTAAGACAGTGGCCTCCAACCTTTTTACAGCCAAGATCTCTTTTTAAATTTCAGGGCAAGCCAAGATCTACCCCATCCCTTCCTCAAGGCACCACCCCTTCCTTGAGGCATCACCCTCTCCATTTTCCTCCTCTCCATCACTTGCTCTCCCCAGTCCTTAATCTCTCTTACTGGATTGAGACAGGCTCTGGGTGGAAACGAGGGATTTGGATGTGGGAAGGGGTGAGAGGTGCAAGCTCTGGGAGGAAATTTGGGTGCAGGAGGAGGTGGAGAAGGAGATGTTGGCTCAGGGATGGGGCTCCAGGCTGGAGAATGTTGGGGTCAGGTGGAGGGTTGGGGCACTGAGAAAGCTTCAGACTTGTGGATATCAGGGCACAGGAATTTGGGTTGGGGTGTATGAGGAGCTCAAGGTAGGTGGGTTGGGTGTATGATGGGCTCAGGGCACAGGTTTGCTGTGTGTAGGTGGTGCAGGAATGTTGTGGCACAAGACTGGGAATGTGGGAGTGCAGGAGTTTGGAGATGTGGGGGGCTCAGAGCAGGGGGTTCAGGTGTATGATGGGCTCAGGTTTGGAGTGGTGTGGGGGCACAGGGGTGCTACAATGCTGCGGCCAGATAGGGGTTTGGCCCCAACTAGGGGCTTGTTGGCCAGGCTTCATTTTTAAATAAAATATTATGTACAAGACAAAATGTTTCAACATTGTCTTTATTTATGGAAGGGGTGGGGGAACATTTTTGGGGTCAGGGGCCACTGAGCTACAGAAAAATCAGTCGGGGACCACACAAGTGAGATGCAAAAAAAACCAACCTCTCCAAAAAACCCAAGCCCCACTGATGTGGCCCCAACTGAGACACCTCATTCCCCCGGCACACCAGCCCCATGGTTGGGGGATGGGGAGAAGGTAGGTAGAACTGAGATTCAAGGCCTCAAAACAGATTAATTCTTCTGGGGTTCCAGGATTACTGGATTTTATGGTCCCCCCCTAAATAAAATATTATGTACAAGACAAAATGTTTCAACATTGTCTTTATTTATGGAAGGGGTGGGGGAACATTTTTGGGGTCAGGGGCCACTGAGCTACAGAAAAATCAGTCGGGGACCACACAAGTGAGATGCAAAAAAAACCAACCTCTCCAAAAAACCCAAGCCCCACTGATGTGGCCCCAACTGAGACACCTCATTCCCCCGGCACACCAGCCCCATGGTTGGGGGATGGGGAGAAGGTAGGTAGAACTGAGATTCAAGGCCTCAAAACAGATTAATTCTTCTGGGGTTCCAGGATTACTGGATTTTATGGTCCCCCCCTCCCCCAGGCTCTGGGGTGGGGTCAAAAATGAGGAATCCAGTGTGTGGGACAAAGCAGCCAGTGAGTGGGATAGGGAGTGCAGAATCTGGGTGGGAAGTAGGGTATAGGAGTACGCTGGGGGTAGATGTCTGACCAGGAGGGAGGGGGTAGGAGCAGGATGCTGGTGGGTATCTGACCACGGGAGAGGGGGCAAGAGAAGCTCAGCTGGAACCTGGGAGTCCCCAAAGACGAATATCTCTTGGGAAGAATCTGCAGGCAGCACGTGAGGCTCCTTTAAGAAATCTAGCTGCTCTAGATCCTCCACTGCCGTCTTAAACCCCCCCTCCTCCCAATCCTGTCTCTCTGGAGCACGGGGGAAGGAAGGAAAGACAAGAAAGTGTGTGTTGCTGTGGGAAGGGGAGGGGAGGAGCAGTGGGTGCACGCTTCCTGAAAAGCTGGATCTGGCACGGAGCCATAGGACTTCTCTCTCCCTTCCCCCACCACAGAAAGCCGGCTTTGGCTCCAGTTTTGCGAGGGGTGGGAGGCTGTAGTGCAAGTGCGGGCACCTCATTGTGGGGGAGGGGGGGGGCGGCGGAGGGGAGCAACCGGGGACTGGGAACACTGCATCAAGATTGACTGGCAGTGCTTCCATGATCAACCAGTCAATGGGTGACCACTGCTGTAAGATGTATGCCTGTGTGGATGCTTAGGAGAAATTCAAATGCCACCCAGATGATTAGTAGAGTGCCCACAGCTAGATTTTTTTTTGTTTCTACATACCTCAATGCACATGAAAATTATTTCACACATAAATGAAAAAAAATCAGCACATGGATGGAAAAATTAGAGGGAACATTGATCAGGATCTGATTGTGCAAGGCACTGTCCAAACACAGAAGAAGGTAATTGCTACCCCAAAGCACTCACAATCTAAAGCAGTAGTAACCAAACATTCCTAGTCCACCCCCACATCTTACAAGTAATGGAATATGTCCACCCTCACCTTTCCATTACTGCTCAGTTGGCTTAGCAGAGTAGCTTGTTCTGAAGCTGGAGATGGGGACAGTACTGGGCGTGTGAGAGGAGCTGGGACTAGAGGTGAGAAGGAATGAGGGCAGAGAAGGATTGGGGGCAGAATAGGGGGTGGAGTGGAACCAGAGTTGGGACTTGAGATAGTCTACAATAGAGAGGGGTGATGCTCCTTTCTTGTCCCCTGTGGGGGATGGCCCAGGCCCTGCCACGTATGCCCCTGAACATTCCTCCACGAACCCCTACAGGAGCGCACCCCAACTTTAAGGGGATCACTGATCTAAGTATATGATTGCAGTACACATAGGCATACCCAAGGTAGCTTTGATCAAGCAAGCTCACGGAAAATAGCAGAGTAGCTGTATGTGCATGGATACCATCACAGATTAGCCATCAGACTTTAGTTGTGCACAGCACCCCAAGTATGTTCTCTGTTGGTTAGCCCATGCTGTGGCAGCTACTCTACTATCTACACATGCTGTCCTGGTCAAGATGTTAGACGTACCCTAAGAAGTTTCAGACATGAGACAACAGATGGATACAGACAGGGATTAATTACTAGGAAAGAGAGAGACAGCTTTGGTCATTATGACGGACAGTGACCTCTGCACACCAATAGCCTAACTGTTTTCAAGATTTTTGTAGGCATTGTGGCAATAGTTTTAAGGAGAACTTGGAAGTGAATTCTGCAGATATTTATGGGCAGCTCCTCCCAGACGTAAAGGGTAACATGGCACAAAATGCAAAGGTACCTGTTTGAAAATTTAGAAAGTGGGTATCACGGGTTGACCAGAGGCAGGGGTTGAACTTTTGATACTGAAGCAGGAGGTGACTTTATTTCTCCATTTAGGATGGCCTAGGACTGGAATAGCAGAAAAAAAGAAAGCCATGAATGAGGTGCAATCCTAATGTAATATGGGAAAGCGTGCACTGCATTTGTTTTTACAATCCCCGGCTCAGAAGGGTTATTTCCATCACAAACCTGTTATTGCACCTGACCCTTTGAAAAGTTGGACGCTGACAGCTCAGAGGTTGCATAACTAGATAACATGCCAGAGTCTCTCTCTTAAATCGAAGTTAACCACACGAGTCTCTCCACAAACGAACCATAGCCATACATCTTTACCCACAAAATTGAGAAAGAACTATCAATCTATCTATCTTAACTGGGCCCTAACTTTCCTGAGCCTCGATAATTCAACAACTTTTTAAAAATGGCAAACTTAACAACTACATGCATTATAATTATATAAAACTACAACACTATTACAGCATTGTAAAACTTGCCATATGTTTTCTACAGAGGTCTCTGAGTTTTAACTCCAGGAAACTCAAATTAAGGGCTCTCAAAATATCAGTATCTCATAATAGCAGCATTAAAAGTTATATATTCCAAGTTCTCTTTTGTGACAGAAAATAAAATCAGACATTCATACATGCAGGAGAGTAGATCCATCGCAGTGAAAACACATTTGCTTCCTTACAATTATTTTACATACTCTTTGCACTTTAAGAATAAAAGTTTCCTGTAAGATTTTATTCATCTCTTCTATTTTCTTCACAGTTGTTTCATGTCCTGATCTGTTGAAGGACAACTATGGAATGCTGAAGGTTAAGTTTGTCGTAGAGAATTTGTAAGTTCTGGCAATTCTTTCTCTAAGTTAGTAAGAGGAGACCATGAATTACATGAAGAACACTGCTATACGCAGAACACTTCTTTTTATCCTTTTGTACTTAGTTTGGCCTTAGCTTGTGCCTTTAAGGAATAATGACAAAACCCATCATACTTTGGCTGAACTAAGAGTCCTTGAAAACAGTCCAGATTTGTGTTAGTACAGGCAGTCCCCGGGTTACGTACAAGATAGGGACTGTAGGTTTGTTCTTAAGTTGAATCCGTATGTAAGTCGGAACTGGCGTCCAGATTCAGCCGCTGCTGAAACTGATCAGTTTCAACAGCGGCTGAATCTGCAGAGCCAAGCCGCGGAGCGCGTGGGCAGCGGATAACCCTGTCCGCTGCCCGCGGG